GCAAAGAAACCATGAACATTTCAGGAAAAAAAAATAGACACATTGTTTGTATAAATTAGAATGAGGAAAATCTTTTTTGTTTATTCACTTATTCTTTTGTGTATGGGTGGTTTTACCTGTGAGCCATCATGTGCGTGTTGGGAATGGAACTTGGGTCCTCTGGGAAAGCATCCAGTGCTCTTAACCACTGAGCCATCTATCACTCCTACCTGACAAAAAGCTTTTTAAACAAAACCAAGTAATGAAGCCAGAACAGGAAAGTCTGATATTTGAGAACTCTTATTTCCTATATAGCTTTCATATATACTGAGGCCAAGCATAGTGGTGTGTGCCTTCAGTCCCAGCACTGGGGAGGGAGAGGCAGGTGGAACTCTGTGAGCAAAAAAACAAAAAACAAAAAACAAAAAACAAACAAAAACAAAAAACAAAAAACAAACAAAAAACAAATAAAAAACAAAAAACCAAACCCCAAAAAACAAAATCCTATTTAGCAAAAGTAAAAATTTAAATAAAGTCAAACTCAAAGAGTTAAGGTATCACCCAGTTGTTGGGGGATATTGTTTTCAGGTGTGTGACTTTTGTTTATGCTGCATTTGTTTAACTCTGTGAAACTTTGATTCTTTGCCTTTCTAAAAGACCTGATGGTCTAATAAAGAGCTGAACACCTGGCCAATAGCAAGGCAGGAGCAAGGATAGGCAGGGCTGGCAGGCAGAGAGCATTAGTGGAAGGAGAAACAGGGGAAGAGGAGGAACGAGCGAACAAGTCAAGGAGGACGTCAGGAGCCAGCCACCCAGACCCCAGCCACCCAACCAGCCACAGAATAAGAGTGAAAGTAAGATATACAGAAGAAAAGGGGAAAGCCCAGAGGCAAAAGGTAAATGGGTTCATTTATGTTAAGAAACAAGCCAAGCTAAGGCCTAGTGTTCATAAGTAAGAATAAGACTCCTTGTGTGTAATTTATTTGGGTGCTTAGTGGTCCTCCCCCACAAATATGAAAGACAAAAGAGTAAAACTTCAAGCAACACCCAGTGAAAATGCCTATCATGCCTGGGGGAGATGACAGACAACTGTCAGAGACATCCTCACCAGATGTCACTTCTTGATCTTGGTCTCAACAGCCTCCAAAACATAGCTAACAATTTTTGTTCATTTTAAATTATTGTGTCTGTGCTATATATTCTGTTACAGCAGCACAAAACACCAATGATAAAAGGCAAAAGTCAGGCTAGATCAGAAGCCAGACTCAAGACACAAGTTGGCAGCTCACAGAAAAGCAAATAACAATGTTTTATATGTTAGATGTCCTGTTTCCAACAGAATTAAATAGTTAAAAGCTAAGCCAGCCACAGGCCACTTCCCACTTTATTTGGCAGAGGTGAAGAAGTTTCTCAGAACCTAGGCTGTCAAGAGTGTGAAGAAAGAGCCTCCCATGTGTGGACACTGTTTCATGGAGCATGGTTGATGCAGCCCACACGAAAGCTGTTTGTAGTCACTAAGAAGAGGTCATACCTGAATCTTCTTTGGGGAAGTTTTACTTTGGGGATTTCCTGTTATAGTGTGCAGCTATGCAGAGATGTTTTATATCCTGTTCTTTTGGTTAAAATGTAAAGAAACCAAGGTTCACCAAAAAGGGACTTGGTAATATCTATTCTATGTGACATGTTTTAGTCAGAAAGTGCACACTCACAATAGGCTGGGGTGATAACTCAGTCAGTAATATGCTTGCCTGGCAAGCATGAGAGCTCAAGGCCAGTCCTCAGAACCCACAGGAAAAAAAACCAACAACAACAACAACAAAAAAAAAAACATCAGGTGTGGTGGTGTGTACTTGTAAACCCAGCACTGGAGAAGGAGTGACAGGAAGATTCCTGGAACTCGATGGTCAGCCAGTCTAGCCAAACCAGTGAGCTCTGGCTTCAGTGAGAGACCCTTTCTTAAAAGAAAACAGGGCGGACATTGACATGTGCACACAAGCACAGACAAATGAGTACACAAGTATGTCACACACAAGAAAGAAAATGTGCTCTGGCTGGCAGTTGGCCATTTCACTGAGAAAGTACAGTGCATCCCTGCACTTGGTCTTCAAGCACCTGCAGCCCACCTAGCCTAACTGGGATTCCCAGGCCAATGAACTGCCCTGTCTCAAAAATCAAAAGTGGCTGGTACTTAAGAGTGATCACCACAGTTGAAATGTGGCCTCTGCACGCATGCCCATACAGGTGCACATGTACCTGTATGCACAGTAGAACACATGCATATAGACACACAAAACCCCGTTTCAATGTCTGAACGTCTCTGACGTCAGGGTGCATCTAACAATAAGCAGCGTCTTTCCTTCCATTACCATGTAGTCGCTGTACAAAGTAATGGGTTTCATGGACTTTGGTCTTACTTACCACCTCACCCTTGTCTGTTGTCCTCTCTCCGCCTTCCTCCTGGTCATCTCTCTGCTTTTCTGTTTCAAGTCTGGTTTTCTTTGTTTTTTTTTTTTTGTTGTTGTTGTTTTTATGTTTGTTTTTTGTTGTTGTTGTTGTTTTGTCTAGATTCCACATGTGTGTGAGAGAAAACTTACTTGTCTTTCTGAGTCTGGCTTCTTTTCCTGAATATGATCATCTCCAGTCTTATCTATATTCCTGTAAATGCCATAACTTTGTCTTCTTAATGGCTGAATAGTATTCCATTGCGTTTATGTGTATCACATTCTCTTTTGCTCCTTGTAGCCAAGTAGCAGCTGTTATGCAGTTATTCTCATCTGCAGCTCTTTTGAAAACCTGGCAATTATTACAATTAGCCAACATAGTGAAGATGGTAATTGTTTCTGATTGCTGCCTGAAAGCTTGTGTTGACACCTGCTGGCTAAATCCAGAAAGCACAGGCATCAGTCTCACAAAAACTGTGTTTGGAAGGAAATCCGGAATCCCAAGCAGTGGTGGGGAGCACTTTTAAGGACCATCAAAGTGGATCTCATCCCTCTTCATCACAAAGATGAGATGTAGGTGAGGCTGCAGACGTGTGTATTAGTCTTATATGGTCAATCTACACCATATGCCTGTCAAGGCTGCACGTCCTATCCCACAAATGTATAAAATTATTAATAAAATTTGAAAAGCAAAGTGCTGGGTGTACAGACATTTCATGAATGACCAAGTGGAAAGGGGACTTAGAAGAATTTGACTGTGTGTGAAAGGACTTATTCTACATACTACTTTATATGTATAAAGCATGCAAGTGTGATCTGGGGTACAGTACTGGCCACGTGAGTCTTGTACCAAATACAAGTTCTGTGTTTAAAGAAGCAATGTGTGGTGCTTCTTCCAGTTGGTGGGGTCTCGGGTTTGATAAAAAAAAATGATTCAAATCTACCATTGATAAATGTCCTCCTGTGATGAGAACGGGTGTGTGGGTGACAGTGGATGTCATGTAACTTGAGAGGCAAAGAGATCTGTGTGGGGTTAGGCATAAGGAAAGCTTCGTGGAGGATGGACTGGACCTTGAGATAGATTTGAGAGGTGGTAACCCTTATTAATAATATTTGTTGAGCCAGATGTGGTGACATTTGTTTGTAGTCTACCCACTCAGGAAGTTAAGGGTGGAGGATATCTCAAGCTTAGGTTCAAGCCCAGACTGGGCAACATGTGAGAATATGCCTCAAATTTCAATAAAATTAGTGTTAGATCACAGACTTGCTAGCTGCCCATCCTGGAACTCAGGCCATACAAGATGTGCTGTGATTTTCCCCAGCACTTACAATGAATTCCGTTTCCTTCCTTCCACTTGCAGCTATGAGCAAGCCCAGACCCCCAGTTCTTGGACTTAGGATAACCTTAAATTGTGTACTTTTACCTAGTGCCTCTCTTTCTTGTGACTCCTGGGATATAGGCCAGGCCAGATCTGTTGGCATGAAGTTTGCCCCACCCCTTCCACTCCAAGAACCTGTAAGAGTCAGAAACCACCTTTGTCCTTGGAAATTGAAGGTCCTTTTCCTTCAGGACCTTCTTCATGCTGTGCATGGTGGGCATCTTGCCTAACAAAGCTCTTTTTTTTGGAATTGAAGGTCTCCCTTGATGTAGTTTCTCCTGATGCTCTCCCACTTTGGAGCCTCTGGTGACTGTCCCTCATCAAAATACTTCTTCTCCCAATAAAGGTCATCTGAAGGGTCATTTTGTGTCAGCTTCTTTCTGCAAACCTGGTTTATTTTGTAGGTCGGAACAATTAGAGATAGAGACATTAATTTGTGATTACTAGTGTTTTACAGATGTGTACGGCAACCGCAGAAGGCTCCTCTGATGTTTTACCTGTGTATGTATTTCTAAACTAGGTCTGGGTGACTTTTGTTTCATCCTAGGTCTGGTCTTGCTTGGGCCTTGTCTTCCTATTCAGTATGACCTACCGTCAGCCGCCAGGTGATCCCTTAAACATGATGTAGTATGTTTGTGGTATGCCACTGTTTCTAGTTCTCCGACGTAACCTCAGCTTTGTATGAGGCCTGAGGATCTCTACATGACCTCGAAAAGCCCTGGCATCCTTTCTGGTCACCTGGGCACTGCCCCTCTTTCCAGGCTCACTTGGAAATGTTTCTTCTAAGTGTTTTCATTTTAGGCTTGTGTGTTTCAGTCTCTCTGCCAAGTGAGACTACCCCCCCCCCACCCGAATGCAGGCTCTGACATTTCTCTTCAATTATATGTCTTCCAAGGTGACTGATAACCAGCAGCCCCTGCCTCCCTTGCTCTTGCTCACCCTGACTGTTTCTTTCCACTGCTCACCCTTCCCTGACATCATACTGACTCGTTTGTCTTTCCCACCAGCTGTCACCTTTCCCCCACCTCCTTGGGGACGATGACTTCATGTTTTTGTTCGTATTTCGTCCCTACTGTCTAAAACAGAGTCTGACATATGGCAGACTCAAAATAAATGTTGTTGAATGAACAAACTTAGAAAAAAAAGCAGCTTCTTGTCCAGTGTTAATAAAGCATTGCTCTTCTGTCTGGATGGGGACTAGGAAATGAACAATAGTTCATCTGCATCAGAATACTACAAAGAAGTTCTGAAACAAGACAACACTCACGTGGAAGCCATCGCCTGCATTGGAAGCAACCACTTTTATTCTGACCAGCCAGAAGTTGCACTCCGGTTTTACAGGTGGGTATTGCGTTTCCTCTGCTGGAAAAGTCAGTGAAACAGCAAAGGGATGGAATGAAAATGCAGAGAAATTATAGAAAGGCCACATGTGTATAAATCTAAGAACTGTATCTTTCAGTACTTGGTACTTTGGGGGTGTGCAGACTGGCATCCTAAAAAACATACCTGCATGGCCAAGCTTTCATTTTAGTTCGGTGTGAGTTCATGTTAGTTGTCAAGAAACAACAGAGGCTAAATAGCTACTTGAAATAGTTCTCACTGTCACTGCCTCTTCAATACCACAAAACTTAGAGACAGAGGCTGGAACAGGAAGGGTTGCAGGTTCCCTGTGTTCAGAGCCTTGAAGAGGACTTAAACAGGGTCACATGTTTTGTGAGGTATTTTCAACTTTTTCCACATTGAAACTAAGTCAACTCTGGTCGTGTGGCTTCTAAAATACTTTTTAAAATATGACCTTCACTGTTTATTTGTGTGTATGCCAGGTGGGGTATGTGCCTCGTGGCATGATTATGAAGGTTAAAGGATAACTAGCTCCCTTTGATTCAGGTCTTTCCCTCCACTACGAGTCCCAGGGATCAAACTCAGATCATCAGGCTTGGAGGCAGGCACCTTTACTCACTAAGCCATCTTACTAGTCGATAAAATTCATTTTTACCTGGTGGTTTCAGCCCTTGTGATATATAAGAATAGATTAAGAGCTGACAAGGTCTTTCCAAACACATGCTGGGAACATAAAGTAAACAGATGCCATCCAGCACTGTGCAGCTGGCCATCCTCTCTACCCCAAAGTGGGTCATGGGCTTCTCGAGCAGCTGGGCTGGCTTTTCGTTTGTGTATTTGAACTGTGTTGGATTAATGATGCACAGAAGCAAAGTGGGGCTCTTGAGCTGCCATGGGAAAGCTGGCAGCTCAAGAGTGGGGAACACAGAGAGCCACCCACAGTCACATCTTCCATGGCAGAGGCTCGCTCATGGGAGTGAGTCTGTACCACACAGCACGGACCTCGGAATCCAGGGCACAACTCAAGGCGCCTCAGGGAATTCCCTGCAGGTACCGAGGCCTCTGAAATAACATGTGTGAACTTATGTGATCACTTCTCCTTTCTTTCTAATAAGGCTTTTGCAGGGAAAACAAAACACTCTTCAGACCTTGTCCCTGGAGACATGTCCTATGACGAGTTATGAGCATTGTTTATACATTTGTTGACATTATCAAACAAATTCACTTCTAACTACTCTTATAAGGTAATCTAACAGGGACTTTTGTGCTCCTCTTTGGAAAGACGCCTCTTGCAGATGGGAGTTTATAACTGCCAGCTTTTCAACAACCTGGGGCTGTGTTGCTTCTATGCCCAGCAGTATGACATGACTCTGACCTCATTTGAACGTGCCCTTTCCCTGGCTGAAAATGAAGAAGAGGCAGCTGATGTCTGGTACAACCTGGGGCACATTGCTGTGGTATGTTTTGTGTGTGTGTGGTGCATGCATGTGCATGTTTCCTGTTATGGAAAAAGTCACCATATGTTCCTGTGAACATATTCTCAGATATCATAAATCCAACTGATAATTTAGAGATTGCAGTCATTTTATATCCTCAAGTTAAATTCACGCACAGAATTCACACTTGGCTGCTGTGATTGGTACTTGGTCTCTCTATGTAGCCAGAAAGATTTATATGCAAAGTGAGGGAGGATGTGGTGGGGAAGCCTGTGGCTTCGTGTGTGCAAACATGTGCTTTTCTTTGCAGGGAATAGGAGATACAAACTTGGCCCACCAGTGCTTCAGGCTGGCCCTGGTCCACAACAACCACCACGCAGAGGCCTACAACAACCTAGCTGTGCTGGAGATGCGAAAGGGTCACATTGAACAGGTCAGAGAACTGCATTGTCACAGTGGACAGTTGGCTTTCTTCAGAAGAAAGCTGTGACACTTCGCTATCATTATGTGTTAGGCTTTTAAAATAGCTCTGGAGTCTGTCAGGCCTGGTTCTGAGTCCCAGCTCTGTCGTCACTAGCTGTGTGACTTTGGGCAAGTCACTTCACTTCTCTGAGGCCAAAACTAAACATTTATTTAATGGGAATAATGCACACTTCCATGGTCGTCCCACCTCAAACACACCATCTCCCACCTGTGATCTGGCTGCTCCTGCCAAAAGCCTGGCAGCCACCCTTGGGACCCTTTTCTTCTTCTCTCTGTCACCCCGCACCCACACTGTTCAGCAGTCCTGTCAGCCCTAGCTCAGTGTGGTCCCTCTTCTCTACCACAATCCATCTCTTTCCTGCACTATCCCAGGTGCCTCCTAGCTGGTCTCCCTCCTACACACACACACACACACACACACACACACACACACACACTACTGACTAAGCCATCACCCCCGGGCCCCCCCCACTATGAGGGAGACTACTGAGTGACGTAATGATGAATAAATAAAGCCGTGACATAGCCTCCTCTGAATAGCCTAATGGATTTTGTTATGAAACAATATTATTTGATTACCGCTTTGCTAAAACCCTCCAGTTCCGCACTCAACGTCAGAGACCTGTGCGAGTAGAGAGCTAAGCCATGGACCTTACCACTGCTGAAAAATTACTTTAAACACTAGTCTTGCAGGAGTATAGTCTTGCAGGAGTTCCTGGGCTGCAGGTGGGAGCCACCATTTTGGCTTCATTGGAAGCCCTCCAGGCCCCTCAGGAGCTGTGAGCCTGTGGGATTCTGATCAGGGATGTGAGGATACTGGGGCTTCTTCAGGAAAGCAGCCTGAAGCATACAGGCTGACAGGGTGATCTCCTGTTTGAAAGAACTGAGTGAGGAGTACCATGAGACCAGGCTTTTAATAAACTGTCTCCTTGTCTTCAATAAATAAATAAATAAATAAATAAATAAATAAATAAATAAATAACTCCAGTTCCTTCTTTTTGCATTTGGACTAAAACCCAGGTTTCCATCCTGGCCTGTACTGGCCCTATATTCTGGTCTCTACCTTTGAGACTACCTGTGTGCTCCTTCCTCACTGGCTTCAGGCACACAAGTGATCCCACTGCTCTGCAGACACACAGAGCTTTGCCCCCTTCAGGCCTTTGCAGTATCCCCCAGATCTTGCCATGACAAGTTTCTTTGCATCACTGGAGTCCTGAGTGTCGCGTCCTTAGAAGAGCCACCCAAACATCAGTCTAAGAAAAGCCCTTAAGGGCTTTTCTTGTGCTGTTTTCTTTTACTAGATATTGGTGTGTACAGCAGTGTCGGCTGCTTGAAAGCAAGGTCCTCGTTTGTTATGTAACTTCTGTATTCTCAGCACAGGAAACAGCACCTGGCATATGGGAAGTCTATGTCAGTGTTCCTGGAGGGGCTGGGGAGGTGGCTCAGTCAGTGAAATGCTTGCCATGCAAGCAGGAGAAATTGAGTTCAGATCCCCAGCACCCACTTAAAAAACAGTTGCTACACAGAGAAATCCTGTCCCAAACAACAACAACAAAAAAGCCACTGCAGCATGTATGTATCTGTAACCTCAATACTGTGAAATGGTGTGTGTGTGTGTGTGTGTGTGTGTGTGTGTGTGTGTGCATGTGCTCAAGTGTGTACACATTCCAAGGCACACATGTAGAGGTCAGAGGACAACTTGTAGGAGCTAGTTCTCCCCTTCCTTCCCATGTGGGGTCTGGGACATCAAGCTCAGGTCATCAGGTGGCAAGTACCTGGTGAGCCATTTCACCAGCCCACTGATTTCAAATGTGTTTAAAAGTTTTATGTTCACCCCCTTTTATAGTAAAATCAGTATCTATTGTCTTATATGAGTTGGTGTCCCTTTTTTCCCATTTAAAAAAATGATGCATGAATTTGTGCTAAGGGTCATGGATACTTTGGGGAGGGGGTATTGTTCAGTGGCATCGTATGAACTGTGATGCACACATTACCATCTCCTGTTACTCCATGTTCTCTGCAAAATATGATCCTGTGAAATGTAGCCTAAGTTTTATGCTTTCAGTACTTGTGATGGCTACTTTAATGTCAGCCTGACACAAGGTAGAGGCATTGGGAAGGAGGGGAACTCCGTTAGGAAAATGCCTCCATAAGATGGAGCTGTAGGGCATTTTCTTAATTAGTAATTAGTTATTGATGGGGTAGGGCCAGCCCATTGTAGGTGGTGGCATCCCTGGGCTGGTGGTCCTGGATTCTATAAGAAAGCTGGCTGAGCAAATCACGAGCAAGCCAGTGAGCAGCACCCCTCTGTGGCCTCTGCATCAGCTCCTGCCTCCAGGTTCCTGCCCTGCTTGAGTTCCTGTCCTAGCTCCCTTCAGTAATGGACTAGGATGTGGAAGTCTAAGCCAAATAAGCCCTTTCTTGCCAAACTTTGGTCATGGTATTTTATCACAGCAATAGTAACCCTAACTAGGACAGTACTTCAGAGAAAACTTGTCACTTCCTGTAGCTGTCTCACTGATCAGCACTGTAATAACTGCTTGATCTCATCTAGAGTAGAACTTTGGACTTTGAGATGGATTGATTTTAAGCTGTTATTGGGGAACAGATAATTAGAGCCTCCTAAGTTGATTATCAACAACAAAGCTAAAGTCAAGAAGACTTTTTTTAAGCTTGGAGAAGATTGTATTTCAGATGGTGTATCACACTGAAGTGCAAACCTTATGAGGCAGTGGTTCTCAAATAACTTTTATCTGTCCTCAATTTTCAGTTCTCTTATTCCCTCTTTTGAAGTATGTATCACTGACGTAATTTTGCCAGACTAACCCAGAGTAAGATATAGTTCACTACATCATTGTACTTCCCGAGGAATTCCATCTGTATTTCCCACAGGGTCATTTTAAGGTCCTGTCCCAGGCAAGTTTTGTTTTAAACTAAAGGGATCGTAGATACAGTGCTGATGTGTGCTCATGTCTGTCTTTTCTTCTTGTCTTCTCACAGGCAAGAGCACTCTTACAAACTGCATCGTCGTTAGCGCCCCATATGTATGAGCCACATTTTAATTTTGCAACAGTCTCTGATAAGGTATTTTCTTCCTTTATTAATTTATCATCTGACACATTCTTGATCTTTCTTGCTTTAAAAAAATGCAGATTGAATACATTTTAAACCTTATCTTTCTGAACAGAGGGTTGGTTATTTTTCAATCTGAAAGAAATGACTTTTTAAAAACCTTTATCACAAATATCTTCACTTGAGGAGATTATGTAATAAACTTTATCACTGGGTATCACTAAAACACCACTGTAAATTGCAGAAGAAATCTCTTACATTTTAAAATGCCATATTTAATCACTAAAGAACACGTGTTAGATAATTCCTGGTCCAGAAAGAATGTATAATTGACTTTTACAGCAAGGAATCCTGTCTGTTATCTGAATATCATATTTCTGCCACACCTTTCTCAAGATTGTTATGAATTAAGAATATTAGTGAATGCTGTTTAGTTGTAAGCAATATGGGGGAAGGTAACTATTAATATTCTGTTGCTAATCAGTTAATATTCAGAAGTCAATAGGAATAGTGAGCTGTTTTTAATAAAATATAAACAAGCAAGCCAGGGCACCAGGGCATCTCAGCACTTTTATCATGAAGAGCAAGTCTGTCTTGAGAATTAAGAAACAGTTCAAAATGTTTATGATATAGTACAGGGTTTTATTGACTAAAGACATAAGCACAGTATCTTTATAGCATGAATAAAAAACTATCCACCCATGTCTATTTTGAAAATAGAAAAAGCTGTCACTCAAGTTACAATCTGGAGGACAGTTGCTAAATACCAGCTTCAGTTGGAGGGGCTTCACCACTTTCCTGAATTCTCTCCAAAACCCAGTGATGTTTCTTTCTTTGGCCTCTCTGTGTACTATTCCTTGTGGTTGTCATAGAAGATGTAGCAATGAACGAAGCAGGCAAAACCTTCTACTTCATGACACTTGCATTCTCGTGGAACCTGAGGCTCAGAGAGGTTACAAGGGATCCATAGGAACTGGGTGTGGAGACATAAGCCTGTAAAACTCCACATACAAGAGGTTAAGGCAGGAGGGTCACTAGTTCAAGGCTAGACCAGCAAGACCCAGTCTCAATAGAGCCCAAACAGCAGGAGTCTTTGGGAATGGCTCAGTGGTTAAAAGCACTTATTGCTCTTCCAAAGGACTAGAATTTGGTTCCCAGCACCCACAGCAGGCAGCTCCAGGAGATTCTGCATCTCTGGCTTTGGCTGCACCTGCACCCACATCCACACACCTACATGCACTCATGCCTACACATAATTAAAAATAATAAAAATAAATCTGAAACAAAACAAAGACACACCCTAGAGCCACATAGCAATCAATATGGAATTGCAGACCCAAGCCCAGCTGCTAGGATGCTCTTCCATCCTGTGCAACCACTTAGTTAAAGGCAGGCACTTTATTATAGGAAGGCCAGCTCACCTGAGGATCAGTGCAGCTTAATGATTCTTAGCTCAAAGAATTCTTAATTCTTAGAAGATAGTTCATAAAAATATTAGAAAATAATAGTAGTGTTGGCAATGCTTTGATGTATTATAAAATAATAATAATGTTGGCAATGTTACTATTTTAAAAGGAAACCATTTAAATCTAAAATACATATATATGTTATTAAAAACTTATCAGAGTTGAATCTAGATTTTTTTGTGTGCACATACTAAACTGTTTTTGTCGTTTCAGAAGTGCATACATGAATGAAGATAGATTATTTTTCTTTGGTACTGGACTTAAACAGAGTTCATTGAACATTAGAGATACTCTTTATAAACCTAAAAGCCAGCTATCTGCCCAGTACTGTTTTGTTTAGTATCACTTAGAACCTCTCAGATAATTTTTATCTTTTATTTTATGTGCACTAGTATGAGGATATCAGATCCTCTGGAACTGGAGATGTGGATGCTGGGAATTGAACCCGGGTCCTCTGGAAAGGTGGCCAGTGCTCTTAACTGCTGAACCATTTCTCCAGCTACCACTACCTTTCCCTCCCCCTTTTTTCTTTTTCTTTTTTTGAGACAGGGTTTCTCTGTGTAGCCCTGGCTGTCCTGGAACTCACTTGGTAGGCCAGGCTGGCCTCGAACTCAGAGATCTTCCTTCTTCTGCCTCCCGAGTGCCAGGATTAAAGCTCTGTGCCACCAGCGCCCAGCCTTTATATCTTAAGTTAATATATTTTACTTAAATTTCCTGCCTAAGAGATATTATACTGATTAAAATGTCTATGATGGATGTTGAATGTATTCTGGCTACACAGACCTGGGTCTTTAGGCATACAGATGCCCTTTTATATTTCAGCGACACAGAGAGAAAACACACATTTCTGATTCATAGCTAAGCAACTATGACAGAGTATGTAATTTTATTTTCCTCTCTTTTATGATGGATTGATAATTTGGATGAGATAATTCTTAAACTCTAGGTAGCACAATGGAACAATTTACTTTTAAGAACTCTTGGCATTTTTCCAGCATGTAGATCTCACTCTGTTTCCTAATGGGTGTTTCTTACAGATTGGAGATCTTCAGAGAAGCTATGTTGCTGCTCAGAAGTCTGAGGCGGCATTCCCAGAGCACGTGGACACAAAGCACTTAATTAAGCAGTTAAAGCAACACTTTGCTATGCTCTGATAAGTTCTTGGACAAAATACATCAGCAAGGAGTCAAACATATGTCAGTGCCCAGGAGAAAAAATGCACTGTGCGCATTGGTAGCAATAGTGTGACGCAGACTTGGCAAGGTAACACAGAAGCCGGGTGATGGTGGCACACACCTTTAATCCCAGCACTCGGAAGACAGAGGCAGGCAGATCTCTGAGTTCTAGATCAACCTGGTCTACAGGATAGCTGGAGAAATAAACAAACAAAAAGACTGTAAGCCAGAGCCTATCATTAGAACTTTGTTGTTTTGTAAAGTAATATTTTAAAAATAAGATTTAAGAGTTTCCTAGTTTGGCCTTTTCAGTTAAAAAATTTCATTGTTGGATACAGACATTTTCAAACAATTGTATCATGTATATTGGGTGCACTTTGTCCATATTCTCCTCCTTGTTATTTCCCATTGTCCCCTGGCCAGTTTCATCTGTATGTACATGATTCTTTTTTTTTTTTTTTTTGGTTTTTTTTGAGACAGGGTTTCTCTGTGTAGCTTTGGAGGCTGTCTTGGAACTCCCTTTAAAGACCAGGCTGGCCTTGAACTCTCAGAGATCCACCTGCCTTTGTCTCCTGAGTGCTGGGATTAAAGACATGCACCACCACTGCCCGGCTCTGTATGTACTTTTTTTAAGTATCTAAGTAAGATCTAGAAGCTACACATTAGAGAAAACTTACAATATTTGTTTTTCTGTACAGAATCAATTTGTGTATATAAAAACATTTTTTTCACTTTTCATGAGTTTCTTTTTCATTTATCTCTGTTAATGCAAGTTAGTTTTAAAAGCCCATTTATCTTGTAAGTCAAACTGTTTAAGTTTACTTGAAATGACGCATTACTAGTTTTTAGCTAATGTGTTCCCCAAATGCTCACTGGTTCATATCTTGACAAAAGTAAATTTGAAGCACATTATGGACAAACTTACTATATATGTATATATGTACATATATATGTATATGTATACATACATATATCTATGTATATGAGTGTATGTATATATATATATATATGTTTAGAAGAAACAATATATGTAAATTCATGTCACACAGTGATTTCTTAGCTGAAACTCTAAAATCACACACACAAAAAAAGATTCATAGATCTGACTCTCCAGACCTTAAAAACTTTTGTGTTTCCAAAGACATTACTGAGGATATAAAAATCAGCCACTGACTGGGAGGAAATGTTATCACTTGCATTATGTATTTTATAAATGACTTTCATTGAGAATGAAACTCAAAACTAAATTAAAAGGCTGGAGATGATGGTGCATACCAGTAAGCACTGAGGCAGGGTCAGTTTCAGTCTAGCCTGGGCTACAAAGTATGACACTATCTCAATAAAACAAAAACACCATAAAATAAGTGGAAACCTCTCCAGAAATGACATGTAATATGTGGTGATATATTATTTATGATTTATTAAAGCTTGCCTGAGGGTCCAGAAAGCAAAGCCAGCCACAAGCCATAAAGGTCAAGCAATGGTTATACACACCTTTAATCTCAGCCACCATGGAGCTAGGCCATGGTGGCACACACCTTTAATCCCAGGACTCAGAAGACAAGCAGATGGATCTCTGTTAGTTCAGGGCTGCACTGAGCTACATGAAATTGATGCAGTCCTAAAGAGAAACAGTTCACACGCAGGTGATCTCAGCACTTGGGATCACACGCCTTTAATCCCAGCACTAGGAAGATATAAAAGGAAGAAGCAAAGGGTCTCATGAAACATTTATTCTCTAGCCACACTGAGGAGAGCATAGCAGTCTGAGTGAATCAGAGGAGCAGATTCACCCTTTCAGTCTGAGGGTGGAGGTAAGAGCTAGTGGCTGGTTGCTCTGCTTCCCTGATCTTCAGCTTGAATCTTGAACCCCAATATCCGTCTCTGGGCTTTTGTTAATTGTGTTACATAATATGTAGCAGCTATGCACAGAAGAAGATGCTCACATTATTAGTCATCAAGAAAATATAATTAAAAACTCAATTAGCATAGCTGAAACTTAAAAAATGGACCAGACTGAGTTCTGGTTACCATGTAAACAACTGGAACTTTAAAAATGTTCACTTAAAAGACTTGAGTGTGAATGTTCGTAGCAACTTTATTTGTAATAGCCCCAAACTGGCAACAACCCAAAGGCAAATGGGTAAACTGATACAGCCATACAGTGGAATACTATTTGGCTCTAAGAAAGAATGAATTGTTGACAACACACATGAGCATGAATGAATATCAGAGATTTCGGCCATCTTAGTTAGGATTTCTATTGCTGTGAAGAGACACCATGACCAAGGCAACTCTTACAGAGGAAACACATTTAATTGGGGTGGCTTACATTTCAGAGGTTTAGTCCATTATCATTATGGTGCAGCATGGTGGCGTGCAGGCAGACATGGTGCAAGAGAAAGACCTGAGAGTCCTACATTTTGACCCATAGACAACAGGAAGTTGCCTGCTTAGCTTGAGCATATATGAGACCTTAAAGTCCATCCCCACAGTGACACATTTCATCCAACAAGGCCATACGTACTCCAACAAAGCCACACCTTCTAATAGTGCCGGTCCTTATGAGCTTATGGGGGCCAATTGCATTCAAATTACATATGCTTTGAGTAAAAGAACCTGAACAAGAAAGAGAGCACGAGCTGTCACCCCACCACCACCACCATAAAGTTACAAAAGTGCAAACTAATGACTACTGTGAGGATTGTGGTTGCCTGCCTACAGGGAGAAGCTTGAAAGAAACATGGCGATGGACATATTTACTGTCTTAATGGTGGGCACAGCGCTATCAATATGTACATATGTCAAACTTACCACATTATGTACTTTATGAATGTATGTATTTCTAAAACTCACAAATGTATATTTACATGCTGTTTATTATGCATCAATTATGTCTCATTGAAATTGCTTTGGGTTTTCAAGGAAATTATACCCTTACCAAAAGTCAGCTTTAGCATATGCCGATTACCCCTAAAATAGATAGGCTTCAAAATTCTTCAGACTTTAGACTCGAGAGGCAGCTCAGCAGTTAAGAGGACCTTCCAGAGAACCCAAGTTTGATTTCTAGTACCCACATCAGACAGCTTACCACTGCCTATAATTCAGCTCCAATGATCCTCTCCTGGTCTTTGCTGACATCTCCAATGGCACACACACAAGCATATATACACATTTTCTTTTAAAAAGTGTTCAGATATGCAGGTTAAATGACATGGCATGATGTTTTTGTAGGCACTGTGTTATTTCAAGTTACAGATGTCTGTAAATGTTTCTTACATGAAGACACATTGAGAACACATTGGGGAAACCTTTGGATGAAGTGTCTTGACTTGAAGAATCAATGGGATTTTGACAAGAGAGGGGAATGGAGAATTATGGGAGGAGGACTTATGGAGTTATAGAGAGGCGTTCTAGGCCAGGCTAATGGGTGGGTCTGTTTAGCAGCCACTCAGATATGGCTCTGTGGGAGTTGGGTAGCAGGAGTGGGCTGGTCATGAGTGAACTTTGGTGATGCAGGGAAGACCCAGAATGCAGAAGTTTTGAATCCCAAGCTGAAGAGGTGAAATTTATTCAAAGTTGGGAGGAAGCAAGAATTTTGTATGACTTGATCGGTTGATATTATTTAAAATCAAGTAGGCGGTGGGGAGTGGGATGGCTCCACCAGTTAAGGTGTCTGCTGCAGAGCTTGTAGGCCCAAGTTTCATCCTTGGGATCTATATGGTGTAAAGAGAAAATTGACTCCTGTAAGTTATCTTCTGATTTCTACAGCAGGTACACAGACACACAGACACACAGACACACAGACACACACACACACACAAGATACAGCAGGTATCCACACAGAGAGATAGCAGGTACATACACACACACACACACACACACACACACACACACACACACACAGAGAGAGAGAGAGAGAGAGAGAGAGAGAGAGAGAGAGCAGATACAGAGACAGCAGATAAAGAGACAGAGAGCAGGCACACACACAGATACAGCAGGTATCCACACAGAGAGATAGCAGGTACATACACACACACACACACACACACACACACACACACACACACACAGAGACAGAGAGAGAAAGAGAGAGAGAGAGAGAGAAATAAAAAAAA